CTTCAAAGTTGTAGACAATATAGGTCATGTCCCACTCTATAATAATAATCTTAAGCGATTTGTCGAAAAAAGGGAGAACATGTTGTAAAATTCATCGCGCTGGTGATCGATTCGCATTGAGAGTGGCGCCAAATCCGATAATTTTGCTGGGAGAGTAAAAGTCGTTTTTCTCGGGTTCTGCATCAGCTATGAAACCAGAAAAATCAGTTTCTAACGTAATTTGATGTGCTCTATAAAACTAGATTGGTCTTAAGTGAAGCGGAAAAACTTTAGTAAAACGTGGGACGCTTCAGATGGATTTGCCCTTGTACCCAAGATCTTGGGTTAAGAAATGTCACAAGATCTTGGAAAAAAACACCAAGAAGTTAAGATCTTGGATTCTTGAATCTTTCACTCAAGATCTTGGGTTAAGAAATTTGAAGATCTTGAGTGAAGCCACTCAAGATGGTGCAAGAGCTTGAGTGACAAATTTTCTTTACATTTTGTTTTTATTTATGACAGTCGTAGCCATTGGATATACGACCATATAGAGTCATAGATTCTTCCTTAAACAACTATGGACAAGAACGAAAAAATTCTAAGTTATTCTAAATGTGAAATTTTCTCACTTATATTTACACAAGAGTGTAAAACAAAACGATGATTCAAGAATTTCCAAGATCTTGGTACAAGAAGCCGAGAAATTACAAGATGTTCAAGAGCTTGACTTATTGAAATTTCTTGAATTCTTATATTTTCTTACCAAGATCTTACTGAAAAAATTCAAGAAGTCAAGATCTTGGTTACAAGAAGTTCCACTAAGGCGGTGTTAATAAGGTGTCAGCCGTTCAGTTGGCAGGCGGCAGCTATCCCGAATATCAAACAACTTTCTTTCACAAAATTTCAAACGGTGTCTAAAGTGTCTAAAAGCAAAAGAAAGTGCTTTTCTATACAGTTTCCTGTTAAACTATAGCGTCGCTCACCGGTGGGCGACATCGCCGCGAAAGGGTTAAACCACCATTAAATCGAGTTCCACTGTAAGAAACAAGTTTCTTAGATAAAGTTTGTTGTTGATGTGAACGTTTTGTATGACAAACAACTTTTTTAATTTGGTTAAAAAGATTTTGAATATCACCACAATCAACTTTTTCAACTGTGTTTTTATTAATATGTATTTGTTCTGATTCAAAAGCATGCTGAAGTTGTTTATTCAGATAATGATCAGCACATCCTATACAAATACAACAATCACGAAATGTTGCGATCATTTTTGGTTCATTATCACAGACGACGTATTTTGTTAAATCTAGTTGTAATTTAAATTCTTTTAATTTTTTAATAATAAATTCTCGAAGATGTGGTGCAGAATGACTTGCTGCATCTTATGGAAAACAGCCAAGAATAAAACTAAACAAATGAAAATTATTATTAACATATCTAATAGCAATACCACAGTAGCTAATGCCTAAACAAACGTAGAAAAAACGATAAGATCATTCCCAGCTCCATTATTAAGAGGTACAATGCTCAGCGATCTAACCTGTATAAGTTTCCGTCCATTGAACGACCACTAAACAAAAATTCTTCAGTTGCTCGCAAACATTCACCAAATTCAATTTATATTCCTCATAAAGTCGGCTAGCATTTCGACTAATTTAAATAGCATAACATGAATAATATAATTAATCTGTTTCAATACTTTATTCTTCTTACTGTTGTCGGATGTGGAAGATCTGTTATTTGAATTGAAGATTTATACATCGAACGACCGGCATCAAATAAAACTTTTGCAAGATTCTGAAAACCATCACCTGTTATCACACCGAATGCTCGACTATCTATAGCACAAAATTCTGTGCATGCTTGTGTAACACGTAATTTTAATTGTTTTGGAATTGATATTTGTTTTGAAGAAGAACAAAAATCATGAACTGTCTGTTGATGACTATCCATTGATTTATCTTTTCGTTGTACACATGAATTGAAATGAGATTTTAAAGTGTTCGTACAACTTGTAGATGTAACAAATAATAAACTTTTACATGTATTACAAGATACAAATTGTTATTGTTGATTGTTCACGAGAATATGATGATAAAATTGCCACCATTCACTTGACTTTGATGTTGTTTTCTTTTGCACGAATTTCACTGATTCTTCACAATTTTCTATCAATTTTTCAAGTTCTTTTTTTGTCAAAACTTTGTTAGACATTGTTTCTGTAATTACTGCTAAATCAGCAGGAAAAAAATTAAATTTTATATGAATGAAAGCTAGACAACTTCGATTCGTTCACTAATTCATCCTGTAATAATCCATTCTCAGCACGAGAGTGACCAAGATGTCGGTAAATTACCCAAAACAGAATTGGAGGTTTTTGGAGTTCGAGTCGGAGTGAAATTTTTTTCATGGATGGGAGTTGGAGTCAAAAATA